ATATTGATTCAGATATTTTATTGAATTAAGAAAAAATGACAGAATGAATAAGGTAAAAAATTATAATTGTATCTACTTATCATGCAATACACAGTTCAATTCAGAGAGCTAAAAAGAGTCTAAGAGTGGTCTAAGGAGTGAAAATCCTTACAGCCCACTACTTTCTCAGATTCCTAGATCCTCGTAGGGGATCTTGGACAAAGGTAAGCAGTGGAGGATTAATTACCTTAATGACCAGCACTAAACAGATTACAATTACAATTTAATAGAAGGGGGTTTTTCAGAAAATACTAGAGTCTGAAAAACTCAATGTTTCAGAATAAAGAGAACAAAGAGTAAGTGATAGAACCGGAACAAGGAGGACAATGCAGGTTCAAGAAGCCAACGAGTCACTAGAACTCAGTAGTAAGTCAGGAACTCACCACAACTCGGACCGAGTCAACTCAACTCGCTACAACTCAGTACAGAAACAATAGATCAAACAGGGTTAGAACCGAGTTATAATGAGTTAATAACGAGTTAAAAATGAGTCATAAGAAAATTTAAAAATTCAACTTTCAAGAACAACAAAAAATCGATTTTCCAGAAAACTAAGAACCATTTTGAAAAAATATTGTTCGAAAAATTTCTTTTCAAAAAAGGTTAGTGGCTCTGATACCACTGTTATGCCAAAACACCCTAAGAGTTTGTTGGATCATGAGATATTCAAAACAGAAATAAACTTTGCAGAAAAGAAATCGAACACAACGATATGTTTTTGCCCTCAAAAGAGAGCCCGGATGTTCAGCTTTCGTCTAATCACCCGTTGAGCATCCCCAAGGGAGATATAGCTCAAGATTTCACTAAGAAAAACACCAAGAATTAGTACAGATGTACGAAGGAACCAAGTTCTTCGATATCCCTTTCACCTCCTTTAAAAACCTAACTACAGAACTCTCAATCACTCACAGATTCTACACAACAATCTAAAATATCACAAAGTATACAGATTGAGAAGACCATGAAGAACATTTTCAATTTTCAGAGAAAAGTTGAAACCCTAGTCTCTCACTCTGAGAAGAATAGAAGAGGCGAAATGACAGAATAAAACGAAGCGTCCAGAATGAGAGCCAAAATCAAGATAAATATCTGATCAGTCAACTACCACAATCCAGGGGTTGGGATGACGCCACGTTGACGGCAGATCCCTGCCCATAAGGAGGCATAAAATCACTTTTCACAAAGACACGTTTTATCAACCCGTTAATAATAATGGTCCATTTAGTGGATTTCCTTTTGGGCCACCAAGAAATAATGAAGCAGCCCATTATTACTAACAAAAATAACTTCCCACTGCTTAAAAAATTGTTGGGAACACGAGATATCATTGTGCATACCGCAAGGAACGAACACGCCGCAATAGATAGATTGCAATGTTAGAATTCTGAGGATAGTTTTAGCATCTCCCAGGCATATGATTTCTTTAGGTCGATAGGAAAAATGAAGGTTTGGGTTGCAAAAGTTTGGAGATTCTCAAATACTTGTTTATCTTATGGTTAGGTGCTCAAACGAAGCTCCTAAATAAGGATAAGTTAACGCATCTTGATATAGACAGAACTTAAACGCTTTGTGGGGCTTTGGCCTAAAGAATTCAGCATTTAGTCTTTCAATGTTTAATGAACTCCGTTTTTTGGAGCCAAATTAAATAGTGGCTTGGCATCACTAGGTCTATGAGTATATTGGCAGGCCACTCAAGTGGATTGCGAAGGAAGTCCGCGGTACTTCTTGGCAATTTAAAACTAAGAAAATTGCTCTTGCTACCACAGTATACCACTATGGATGTCAAGAAATAACATTATTTTTTATTTTTTTATTTTTTTTTAAGACTTTACATCGCATAGTGAGATGGATCAAGACACATGAATATAAAGTTATGTTTTCTTTGTATCCTCACGTTTTGATCCATTTTGAGTCTTTAGCATTGAATTTTTAGTATGGCTTCTAGATTAGTTCATATTAGTTTTTGCCAGAGTATGCCTGGTGTACTTTTTTACATCACTTGATCTTTGTTTGTCCGAATATGCTCAAAATATTTGTACATGAAATTTTGATCTATATAATTTACATTTACTGATAAAATAAAAGAATAGGAGTTCAAGTCAATTTAGAAATGTAATTTCTAGTTGGAATTCAAAGCAAAAGACTTGTCGCCCATAATATAATTATTGCAATCAAAACGGTCAAATAATATGCATTTTGAGCATATTGGTCGCTGCATTGTCTTCTCTGTTCAACCAAAGTCGCCCTTTAATTTTTCAGCATCAAAACTTGATGCATTGATCCCCTCACTCTAGAATTCGTCCAATTTAGAACGAATAGAACAAAACTTGCCCCTTTTATTCGTTCACGTTCAAACTGGCTTTTCCCCTAAATTCCTAATTTATCATTAAAATAAGCAAAATTAAGTATCAAATCAGTATAAAAACTCCCAAATAGCTTTTGATGGTTCAGACAAGTGTAAATTTACACTTAAAAATAACTTGAATCAATCATTAGGAAAGGACTTGAACCAAAAATCATGACACGTTTTAGGAATATTTGAGAGACCATGTTATAGATAAACCACACTAATAAATGTTTAAAGTTAAAAAACTTATTTTACGAGTACACTGCCGGACGATAGTTATGGGAAAAGGTAAAATCTGCTTTTACTAATGATAGATACTAGTATATTCATATATACGTCATATGATTTAGACGTCACACCATATCATAACGGTAAAGCCAACTAACCGAATAAACTTATTTCTGTATATATTTTTGCTATTATAACGTGAAGTTGAATAGGAGAATAGACATAACATTCAACATATGTAAACTTAATATGTACTGCTTCAAATGGTGGAAATTGGGAGAAGATTTCCTCATTATTGTTCAAATTATCAGTTACGTCTTTTATTTTACTTAATACAGGTAAATCTATAGAAGATTACAGGAATTAAGTCACAAGAAATAAGAAAGGTGATATTAAAAAAAATAATATTTACAAAATATATTTCACAGAAAGAAAACTAAAATGTAAAGTAAAATAGATGTTATATAATTTTGTTAAAATTATTATTGAATGCTAACCTCCTCGAAAACTTGAGCAACTTTTGTCTGATAAATCTGGTTCTGGCATTAACTGATTAGAATTCTTTTCCCTTTATTTTGATAAAATAGCCTTCGTTTCGTAAAAAATAATGAATCTGAAAACAAAAATCTAAAGGCAACTCGGGCATAGTAATTAAGAATTAGAATGTTGTTTTATTACTAGCATTTACGGAGGGATTAAATCAAGCTGTCAATGGCTAATTAAATTAAAGCTGTTAGTGACTGTCATTATTAGAATTCCAAATATATTGTAGTACAAGTCAAAACGATATCTATACTCAAGACACCCCTATAAGCATACATAAGACAAGCTTAATTTTAAGTTACTTATATGGTCTAATCTAAGCCCCTGTTTGGTTGCCTTAAAATTTTAAAAATACAGTTTTGAATAATATTTTTTTGAAGAATGTGTGATTAAAAAGTAAGGAAAAGTGATGGATTTATGTGTAAAATATTTTATTGTGTGAATGTATGGTTGAATATGAATACGAGAAATAAATTAAAGTAAAGGAAATCGAACGGGGCTAACGTTCGAACTTAACTTTCATTTTACTAACCAACCATACTTTTCTGGAATTTAATTTAATTTTTTAAAATGTAAGTCAGATGTGAATTCATTTTTCTGATAAGGGAAATAAAGGGATAGAAACTTAAGCATATGGGCTAACTGAGAAATATAATATAGGATCTGTTGTAAGGACATGGAACCGAAGACAAACAAGACATCAAACATAACACGAATCCTAAACCCTAGATTATAACGACATTGATGGAACTAAAATAAGTAGTTATCAAATTAAAACTTGATACATAAATTTAGGCTCTCTTCAATCAAAATAATCAAATTAAAGCCTAAGAGTTAAATCGAGGCCTGAGTCATCTTCAACACCTGAGTCTTGTCCGTTCATCTGCAAATTGCTAATCTCTCCTAGAAAGTTCCTGCTGGGAACAGACCTTGGGGTTGAAAAATGAATGGTTGGAGGAAGATTTTCCACGCGCAAAGAACTGGGATGTGCCATAAACTGGGTAACATTTCCAGGCACAGGCATTGGCCATCCAGGGTAACCCTCGTTAATTCTTGGGAGGGGACGGGGTGCACGCCCATAGCACATAATCCCATGATGCATTGTGCACTGTTGAGCAAAATAAGGCATGTTCGTCAGAGCCCTGTTGAAAAATTCCTGAGATCTGTAGAACAACCAACCATTGAAATTATTATGAGGAGGGTATGCGGTGTTAGCCATCTGCCTATTCAGGATATTTTTTTCAATGGTGCGTTCAAGTTTGTGTGCATTCATGTGCCCACCTAAAGCTTGCTTGTTCGAGAAGACCTTTTCACAGTACCTGCAGCCATACTCACGCTCTTCTTCCTCATCCACAGGTGGAATCGGATGTGGATTCTCGGATGACCCTGCAAGATTTGGAGGAGGACTTGCCCTAACGGACTTTGACAAGTGATTATTCAGTCCTTCATTGGATTGGCTTTGATCAATGATTTCTTTGGAACTTAAGCCGTCTTCTTGAACGTCATTGTGAGGAGCCTCTTCCAACATGTCTGGGCTAGTCACACTGGCACTGGATGATTCCATGGCTATTTATAGAGAGGAGGGAGAGAATAGTTTTTGAAGCCAAGTAACTGATTCTGGAGAGGCATTCAGAGCTTGTTTAAATAGGGAAGAATTGGAGTATAATTTTTTTTGCAGACATGAAAATTCAGATTGCCTTAGGCTAAGATGGTAAGAAACTAATCAGATGTAATCAAATTTTCGTAATAAAACCAGAACACAGCTAATCTTATTTTTTGTTTTCTTATTCCCTTCTTTACTTTAGGCTGAATCCCCAAGAAAGTTGAATAATTAATTGCAGATTGCTAATGATTTGGGGAAATTCTGCATTCAAATTTATTAAATCCAAAACAAAACTCCTAAATATTTTTTCAAAGTCATGTTGTAAATTAATGACGTCTATTACATGTGAGATCTGTTAATATCTCAGTTGTAGATATTTCAAATTTCCTTAAATGTGAAGAATAGTCACTGTACTTTCGAGTGGATTAATGTAATTTCTATATTTTATTTTTCTTCAGCGCTGCAATATTTACATTTGCAATGAAAACTAGGAAGCAAGAGTGGACCGTGGACCAAGCCAAATATGAAGAATATAACTTGACGTATGCTAAATAATAGCATGAACACTTTAAACATACCTTATTTTTGTAAAATATTTTTATCATTTTGTACAAATATATGAAAGAATTGATGTATTCTTCATTAAATAAAATTTTAAGGCTTTTTCAAGATGTATATATATGTACTTTAAAATGAACTCTATATATGTAATTTTTAACGAACTCTACATATTCATATATATGTTGTATCCTTTCACGTATACTACATGCAATTCTTATTTATCTAACATTACAAAGATATAAAACTTAATGAATAGCGTGATAAGAGATAACGAGTGGTTTGTATCCATAAGAATTAATAGACTACCGGCTTCGAAATATTTATTTATTTATTATTTATTTATTTATTTATTAATTAATTAATTAATTTATTTATTTATTATTATTATTATTATTATTATTATTATTATTATTATTATTATTATTATTATTATTATTTATTTATTTATTTATTTTTTTTTTTAAACTAGCTACCTCATTACATAGTAATGTCTCATATTTGATCTAGTATTATTTTTTTAATGGAATTCTTCTATCATTATTGGTAAGTCTAAAAATTATATTTTTACTTATAAACGATAAAAGTTATTGTTTTGATAGTAAGGGAGAGTTATGACAATAAGTAACTTAAGGTTAATTATGTTTGAAAAATAAAATATTTGAATCAATTTATAGCTTTGTATAATTATGTTATATGGGCTTCCAGCCCATGAGGAAGAGAAAGCCCAAACCACTATAATACGAGGTAGGACATATGTTGGGGCATATAATCCAAAAACCGTGGCTACACAATATACACACAGAGAAGACTTTGGCTGCCAAAAGAGAAAAAGGAAAAAGAAAGGTTTTTTCTTTCAATCTTTAACTCTAAGTGGTGTATTTTGGGTACTTCATAGGCATTGTATTCAAAATCGGTTTTCACATAGTTCATCAAACTAGTGGTTTGAAGTGAGATTATTGTTTACTTAGAGGTTGATTATTGTTGCCTTTCCCCAAAAATTCAAATTTTGGGCAAAAACTTGAACTTTGTAATCTTTGTTTATCATAGTGGTTTTGGCTAGAATTGCCTCTTTCAATCTTTAACTCTAAGTGGTGTATTTTGGGTACTTCATAGGCATTGTATTCAAAATCGGTTTTCACATAGTTCATCAAACTAGTGGTTTGAAGTGAGATTATTGTTTACTTAGAGGTTGATTATTGTCGCCTTTCCCCAAAAATTCAAATTTTGGGCAAAAACTTGAACTTTGTAATCTTTGTTTATCATAGTGGTTTTGGCTAGAATTGCCTAGCAGTTTTTTCTTCCACATTAGAGGATTTATTCCACATGAAAATTCGGTATTGTGTTTTCTTGTGTTGCTTTCCTTTTCTTTTCGTATTTAGTTATTTGCTTGGATTAAATTGTTAATTTATTTTTGCAAAAAGAGAAATTGCCCGACAAGTGGTATCGAAGCTCAAATTGTATGGATGTGGTTCTATTGCGAAATAAATGGAGAATATTTCAGGCACTATGATTCAATTATCGGTTTCAAATTATTCAATTTGGAGGCCTATAGTAGAGGATTGTAAGGATTTACATAAACCTATTGAAGATGACAATGCCAAACCAAGCAGTATGAGTGACAGTGATAGGAAGAAGATGATCAAGAAAGCCATTGGATGTATTAGACAGTGGGTTGATCTTAATCTATTCCATCATATATCTCAAAAGATAGATGTCCATAATGTTCAAGAAAAACTAGAGGGTCTCTATAAGAGAAAGACCGCCCAAACTAAAGCTTTCATTATTAAAGCTTGTGAATCTATAGCTAGAGAAGGACAAATCAGTTGCTAAGCATTTGAGTGAATTCCAAGACTTAGTAAGTCAGTTGACCACAATGAAAATAGTGCTAGATGATAAAATGCAAGCACTGTTATTTCTAAATTCATTGCTTGATAGTCAAGAGACTTTGGTAGCATCAATTAGTAACTCTATTCCGAATGGTGTGCTTGGACT